ATGGGGAATCTCCATTTTATCACCCCAAGAACAAGAGGCAGTGACTGTCCCCAATATAATCTTTATGGCTCAGAATGAATTGAACTCCGGCTTCCCAGTCCTAGTCCAACCCCTTAGCCCCATACTTCACTATTTGTTCTTGTAATCAAATATCTTTCATTAGTCCATCTTTGGCTGACAAAGGAGCCTTTCATTTACTCAGACCTCTTCAGATGGAAGAAAGAAGCACCTGGGCTTCTGCGATTCTTCCTGAAATATAATATGGCACACCTCTGTTCTCTTCTGTCACCAGTTTTATCTAACATTAACACTTTGCTTCCCCCATTTTATTGAGGCATTGTGGTGCCATCTGCATTGTTTATCATCTGTGATATGGGTTGAGTTCTGTTAGTAAAAATGGCTCCAGATCAAGCAGGTATAGGGCAGGATATGGAGCTTTTCTGAGGGATAAAGAAACAGGAGTAAGTGGCAGCATGATGGTAACATGGGATGGCTTGCAAGCCAGGAACAGCTCTCAATGATAATCTGAAAATAAGACATACCCTGATAATAAGCCCAATCGGGCTTTTGAGCACATGCGCTAAAATAAGCCCCCCTGAAAATAAGCCCCCCTGAAAATAAGCCCTCCCCGAAAATATTTAAATGCATGCATAGCTGGTCCCCGCCATTTCCTCTGGTTAGGGTTAGGGAGACAGAGCTGGAAATCAGGCAAGACGGCAAGAGGACCCCCGTCTTGCTCCACGTGCCCCAAAATAATAAGACCTCCCCGAAAATAAGGCCAAGCGCTTATTTCGGGGATCAAAAAAATATAAGACAAGGTCTTATTTTTGGGGAAACACGGTAGTTGCAGCATCAATAGCCTTTTCATAATCCTCATGGCCTCTGGCTCTTAGAATCAATTCCCATCTTACTGTTTCTTTTAAACTCTTTTAATTGAGAATCAAAACAAATACTATTCATCATTTTAGATTCAAGAATAGAGCCATGATAAAATAACCATGTGTTGGTTATCCTTATAAAAATAATACACAGCAAGACTTTAATAACAGAATAACAGAGTTAGAACGGACCTTGGAAGTCTTGTGGTTCAATCCCTGGCTCAAGCAGGAAATCCTAAACCCGTGATGGCGAAACTGCGGCAAGCGTGCCAGAGGTGGCACACAGAGCCCTCTTTGTGGGCATACACACCAGCCAGCTGCTGTCTTCCGGATTCTGGTGTGCACATGCATGCCGGCCAGCTGGTCTTCGTGCATGCGTGTGCCGGAATCAAGAAGAGAGCAGATGGCTGGTGCGCATGTGCGCATGTGCGCCGGCCAGCAGGTTTTCGCACATGTGCATGATGGAACCCAGAAGACAGCAGCTGGCCGGTGTGCGTGCGCGTAACGGAACTTGGAAGAGCAGGTGGCCGCCGTGCACATGCGCACTGGGTTCCGGTGCTCCGGCATGCGCACATGCGTGTGCACACACATACTCCAGTTTTGGCACTCGGTGCCAAAAAGGTTAACCGTCACTGCCCTAAATCATGTCAGATAAATGGTTGTCCAATCTCTTCTTAAAAACCTCCAGCGTTGGAGCATAGAAAAGAGAAATTTCTCAACTGGAGAGAGGAGCACAACTTCCCCACCCTCCCACAATACAATTCCATTTTAGAAGTAGGCAGTATTATCAGACACTCTCCCCGTCAAAAACATATGCTTTCAACATTCCAAGTCAAAACTGTAATATCTTTATTCAGAAGGTTATTTTTGAATGGTTTTAAAGGGATATCAATAAAGCACATTCCAATCTCAATCCCTAATTTTATTACAGCACAGATGACTAAAATCCAGTTTTAGTCTTCTCAGAGCAACTTCCATTGGGTAAATCAATATAGCTGATCTTTTTTCCCCTATATCTGCTCCATTACTATTTTTACTATACAAGCAGATCCAAAATATACATCCTGTAATTTATTTTTTTATTTGTTATATTTATATGCCACCCATCTCACTGATCACTCTGGGCAGTTTAAAATGTAATAAAAAATAAAATAATAATAATAATAGTAATACAAGGCAATTAAATTTAGTATAGTTAAATGGGAAGTCTAAAAATCAAGATAACATACAAAGGAGAGGCACCCAGCTTCCCTCTACCTCTGCAAAAAGTGTAACAACTGTGCGACAATATTTCAGAATTTTTCTTTTTCAAACAAACAAACAAACAAACAACTTTGTTTGAAATGTCAGGGTCTTGATGAATACTCTGTAGTTGTAATATGGAGAACTCACTCCATCTTCTTTAAAGATGGAAGTATAACTGTTAGGGCCAAGCTTGGTGCGATGCTAAGGACCCATCATAAAAAGTAGGGTTGTGTGTGGTATAAATTGTAAAGTGTAATAGGGTTGTTGGAAGGAGATCCATTCAGATCATAACACCCAGAAGGAAATTGCATTCTTTTCTCCCTGCATTGCAACTCAAGAATCACTATAAACCCCCAAATGTTTTTTTTTTAAACTTCCTATTGTTATCAGAGAGGCATCTTTTTATAGGGCTAATATGATAACAAAGAAGTAGAGAGATGGAGAATTTGTATCAAGATTAGGATTTATTTTATTTTATTTTATTGCAATTTATATGCAATGGGATGGGAAAGAGAAGTGTTGAACCTCCCTATTCAACCTGCTAGGATCTCAGTTAAATCTACTCTCCCATGTTGGCTATTAATTAAAAACAGATATCATAATGAAGTGTGTCTCTGTGGCTATATGTCTGACTTTATTGGTCAAGAGATACCTGACATTTAGTCTTTAGTCTTTTGAAGTAAGTTGCACTAAACTGAAATTTAAATTTGATTTAATTTAGTCACAAACCTTAGTGAAATTACTTTTAATTAATCCCAGTTAACATGTACTTAATCATTTCCTTTGTCCATCATATTAAAAATGACCAACAGTGGCAATTCTTGGAAGATTTCCGAAAGCTTCAGGCTAAGTTTTTGGAAGCCACAATGAGCAATGTACAATTTGTACATGTATATTACAAAGGCTCCCCATCACAGCACAATCAGGGCATTTTGAAAAACAATTTTTAACAAGTGCTGAAGTCTGCATTCAAACCACGTGAGAGATTCCCACATTATCATGTGAGTGTTGCAAAATCAAGTTGTTTTTGGGAGTGATTCATCTGCCTCTGGTGTGGTCCTTTGAATGAGCCCACAGTGAGAACAGAAGAATAGGAAGCAAGTTTGCATGCTTAATGTGGGGTCTTTTCAAAGACTGGATCGTTCTGAGAAATTTTCTTTTAGGCTGTTTGTTGGAGCTTTTTGCAAAAAAGGGGGAAAAAAGGAGGAAAAAATAACCACAGCAAAATGCTTCAGTCATCTCCATAATGTGAACAGCTGAATACCATTCACAACTACTAGCCTGTATATTAACTCATACACAAAGACAGGTGCAGACATGCTTATAAAAAGCCACATTTAATTGCATCACTCACAGCCCACTCCTGGGATAAATACCAACTAATGGCCCTGTTGTCCTTTTCTTATAAAATGCAGCTAAACACATCGATTTTAAAGCCAGGGGACAAAATAGTCTTTTTATATAATAGCAACACTTAATTATTTTCTTTTTGACACACTGCCTATCTAGTGTTACAGCACCTAAGGAACTTCTGAATCATCAACAGAGATACAGCAGCATCTTCAGTCTGGTCTCTTGCCACAGCCACAAGAACATGAGAATGACTGAATTCTCATAAATTGTTGAATCAGATCAATGATTGTTGGTCTGGTCCATGACTTTCTATTATCTCTCAAGTGCCCTCTAGAAGTTCGCAAGCAAGGCAGTCTTAAGAAGCTGCCCACCCCGACAACTATAGACACACATCTCTTTAAGCTCTTTCTTCTCTTCTATTCCTAGGTTTTAATGGCTAACATCACCATCCCTACTCCATCCTTGACTTTGCCCAAGGCCATGGTACCTATAGATAAAATTGCTGTGTCGGAGCAGGTTTTTACAATACCAGATCAGGGCCTTCTCGATATAGAAGGTTTCCCAAGCACAACAGGGGCAGATTGCCATCTTAGGCAGGGGTGGGTTCTACTTACCTTTACTACCGGTTTGCAATAGGAGCGCATGCGCTTCTGTGCATGCGCACGCACTTCAGTGTATGCACAGATCGTCCATTTTGACATCCGAGTGGGTAGGTGGAGCCTCCCGCTGCTTTTACTACTGGTTCACAAGAACTGGACAGAACCGAGAGCAACCCACCACTGATCTTAGGTATTGAGACAATGCAATTGACTATCCAAGCAAGTTAAGCCACCATAACACTCTCAAGTTCAACATGTGAACCTAACTACTGCACACATGTTGAAAATCAGATGGCTGTGCTTCAGAACAAAAAAGCAGATTCTAGAAAAAGGACTGAAATGGTGACTCATTGCTGCTCTAATGCGAATTCCCATACCGAGACCTTGTCCCTCTCATCAGCACCATCATTACGGGATACACTGAGTGTTTTGGGAGAGGGAGGTTTTGCATACAGTATATATGTATACAATGGATGGGTCCCTATCATCTTGTGAGTAAAAGTTCTGTCTTACCAATAATGACTTATTTTGGGCCAAAGACAAATCCAGGAAGTTGGCTTCATTCAGGCAGTTTAAAGTTTGATCTAGACACGGAAGAAGAAGAAGCTCAACCTGTAGAAATAAAGCCCCATTTCCAAACAAGAATAATTTTTCCATGCTTAAATGCTGGCAGTTTTTACATCCAACTGGGCCAAACTATGGTAATCACAGTTAATGGCAAGAAACATCAGTAGATGTCAACACCGGAAAACTTCCAGGCAATTCAGCCAGAACATTCAGATAAATCTGTTTTATACTCTTTGGGTTGGTTTAATTTCGGGACAGCTTTTTTTATCAACACTGTACTCTCCCCTTGACAGAATTCTGTGCAACTTCTAATCAAGCTTTATCACAAATCAGCAGCTGGAGTTCATCTGTAGAAGAAGCCACAGGGACCAGAGTGAGTATTAAACTTGTCCAAATGATGAAAAGTGAGCAGGGAGAGAGCTGAATTTCTGACATTAGGAGATCCTAGCAGATGCTTGTTCAGCCCCCATACTCAGGTTCACCTGATCTTTCCTAAGATGTATCCAGTCTCCTTACACATTGAACACAGCCAGGGAGGGGAGCAAACAATGGCTACATTTTTTGCTCCGGTTTATATGATGCCTGTTGACTTCATGACTAGTGTAGAATGAATTTTTTTCCCTCTCCTCCTGACCTCCCAAGTGAATCCTCAATACAGCAACAGGAGAGGGCCACATAGGCTGGCAAATCTGGATCAAGAGACAACACAGCTGAAGAGCACTTACAGAAGATTGGAGTGTAAAGAAGAGAATTAGTGTGCAGTGTAAAGAAGAGAGCACAGAATGACACAATAAGAATTACACTTTCTTATTGGGGTTGAAAGGGGAGCTTAGTTTACTGCTACAGGTAGTACTCCCCTTATAATTGTTCGTTTAATGACCATTCAGGTGTTTGGCAACTGGCTTTGATTTACAACAATTCAAGCACTTAATGTCCATGACAAAAAAAAAGTGATGAATAGAATAGAATAGAATAGAATAGAATAGAATAGAATAGCTTTATTGTCACTTTGAATATACACTAATTGGCATACAATAAAATGAAATTTCGTTGCATACAGCTCTCAAAGGGTCACCATCTCCAATATACACTACATAACCATGACATTATAAATAAATAAATACAAAATTATACATATACGCACATATATTATATAACACAGAGAAACAACACGATCTAGTTCAGATGTATAGATGTACATGGCGAGAAAAACGAATCTTGTGAGTTTACCAGATGGCTGGCATGGGGAACAAAGCTGTTACAGAATCTGGTAGTCCTGCTAGAAATACTTTGAAACATTGGTGGGTTGCCCCCGGTTCCTAAGAACTGGTAGTAAAACTCGCGGGAGGCCCCGCCCACCACCCTCAATGTCATCGCCCATCTCCAAAGCAAGGCGCGCGCGCAAGCAAAGTAAGTGTGTGTGCACTATCACATTGCAAACTGGTAGTAAAGGTAAGTAGTATCCACCCCTGCTTTGAAACCTCCTCCCAGAGGGGAGCAACAGAAACAGACCAAAGTTGTGCATGGCAGGGGTGAAATTCACTTACCTTCCCTACCGGTTTGCCAATGTGCGCGTGCCGTCATCTGTGCATGCGCAAAGCCTTCTGCACATGCGCAGAGGCTTAAAATATCACAAAAAGTGACATCATGACGTCCACTTGGGTGGGTGGAGCCTCCCACAGCCGCTGCTACCGGTTCGCCCGAGCTGGATAGAACCAGCTGAATTTCACCCCTGGTGTGTGGGGTCTCTAACAATGCTTTGAGCTCTAAGCACATAGCGCTTATAAGCAATCAAAATCCTGAATAAGAGGAAGCAAGCTTCCTATAATCTTCCTATAACATTCGATGCAACTCGTTTAACAATCACATTGCTTAGTGACAGATGTTTCAGTCCCAATTGTGGTCATAAGTAAAGGACTAATGTACTGACTATTTAACATCAACATTTATTTATTTATTTAAAATAAATTTAACCAGACCCCCACCTGAGGGGCAGCAAAGCAGTCCATGAAAATCCCCACTCAATTCCTGCCCTCTAATGGTTTCTTGTTTTTTCTGAAGGCTCAGTTTAATAGCCCCAATGATTGCAATCCTCTTGTCAAAATGGCCTTTCAGAAATTCTAGGGGCTGACCAGGGTGTTTTAGATTTATCCCTTCTGGTCTACAAAGGAAGGAGAAGAGAACTTACTCACTTGTAAGAGTTGCACCAGCTGCCACCCACAAAGCTTATTTTCTGCTTCTGGATTTTGAGGCCAGCCAGGTGCACCCCTCCCACCATCCCTGTGCCCAGACTTTGAGCAGACGGCAGACCCAGAAAGTGCTCGTTGCTTTGTTCCAAGGTGAAAGATAGACAAGTGAATGAAATCATTCTTCCAAGTCTTCACCTGTGGTATTGCATTATCTACTCAGTCCCTGTAGGGCATTACACTGCCATCATGAAATAGAAACTCTATATGGGGGGGATGGGAAGAGGATCATATTTTTCCATCAACAATACATTCTGTTCCAAAACCTTATTTCCGTACAGCGTGGTTTTCTTGCTTGAGCAAAGATATTTGGCTCCTCATGGCCTGCCCTCCTTACAACTCCTTAGTAAAAACCATGCATCTGTTTGGTCCAGGGGTGGGTTCTAACCGGCTTTACTACCGGTTCTCTTTGTGCGCGTGCTTTGCACGCGATCACCGCTTCGGTCGCACGCTTGTACAAGCGTGTTGCGAATCTGCCCGGCTGAGGTGCGGCAATCCGCTCTGCCACACCTCTCAGCTGGGCGAAAAAAGAAGAAATATGAGGTTGGAATAACGCGGGGGCGGGTGGGAGGGCCCAGCTCCCGAAGAAAGAGAACCGGTTCGGTGACGTAATAGTGTCACCGCTACCGGCTCGGCCGAACCGGGCCGAACCGGGAGCAACCCATCACTGGTTTGGTCCCAGGAGTAACTGTACTTCACAGCATCTTGGGTTGCAACACTCCTAAAGTTAAGGAAGGGTTGATGCTTTGAATGACACTAATTCTGGGAGCCTTGTTTTAAATAATTTTTTTAATTGCGTTTATTGTGAAATAGTGCTTAAATGAGATGACTGACAGGTGTGGGGAGAGGGAAGGGAAGTAGGCTAAATATCACCAAGTATGACTGACAGAGATATTTAAAAAAAAAATTGGCATGCAGCTTGGCTTTTGGAGGTTCACTCTTGTCATAGGTCCCAAAATGGAGGCTGATTAAAGCAAAAGGAGAGTCAAGCCCTGTTGCTCCCAGGCATTCCAAAGACAATTTTCCAGTAAAATTAAAAACCTAAGAAAAAAGCAAGTAGTGATACCAATCAATAAAGAAGCAACGAAGGAACAGAAGTTCCTGTCAGTGGTGGTTTTCAAAATTTTTTACTACCGGTTCTGTGGGTGTAGCTTAGTGGGCGTGGCATGGCTTGGTGGGCGTGGCATGGTTTGGTGGGTGTGGCTTGGTGGGCATGGCAGGGGAAGGATACTGTAAAATCTCCATTCCCACCCCACTCCAGGGGAAGGTTACTGCAAAATCCCCATTTCCCCCCAATCAACTGGGACTTGGGAGGCAGAGAATAGATGGGGGTGGGGCCAGTCAGAATTTTTACTACCGGTTCTCCGAACTATTCAAAATTTCCGCTACCGGTTCTCCAGAACTGGTCAGAACCTGCTGAAAGCCACCTCTGCATCTGATGTATGGAACTGGAGAGTTGGTTTGTGGGAATAATTTTATCACTGCAATTGGTAAAGAAAAAGCTTTTAACTTTCCTTTTCATATATTATTTTTTTCTCCTTTTCACTTTATGAACTTGTTTGTTTGTTTTTTTAAAAAAAAAGTAGAGTAGGAAAATGTTGTGTTGGGTGAGAGAGAATAAGGTTGAAGGCTGGCAATGTTTCAGTCATGGTTTGCTGAACATGCTGGAGGCCAACTTGAGAGAATTAAAGTAATCTTTGTAGTTTGGCAAGATGTATGGACAAGAACACAAAATCAGACTAGGAGTAAGCCATCTTAGCGAGCCGGGCGGCAAGCAGGTCTAATAAATAAAGCCAAGTAAAGCAATCCATCTCCTTCTATGATTGGGGCCTTGACAAGGTGAAGGGGCTTGTGTGGGTAAATGATCCTGCAGTGGCTAGACAAGTTGAGATAATTATATGTGTGTGTGTGTGTGTGTGTGTGTGTGTGTGTGTGTGTGTGTGTGTGTTTCCTCTAGCCAGGTTTTCCTACGTAACCAAGGTTTTTCTGCAGCCCTAGCTCAGTAGAATCACATCCACTCGATTCTGGGCTTTTTTTCTTTCTGGCAGCCAGCAAGTTCTGGTGCCAGGTGAGAGACTTATATAGATCTATTTCTGGCTTACTGTACCGAGTAGGGGATGGTATTGGAGTTAGGCATTTATTTGCGACAATTTAATATATAAGTGTTTTTCTATCGAGACACCTGGTCTACCCCAGCATATGGGAGGGAGCATACTGCATCCCTTTCACCTTTCAGCTCCAATCTAGGAGCCCTCAAGCAGTCGCATTCATGACAAACCATTCTATACCAAATTTATATTTCGCTGATAAAGAAATAAAGGGAGACTAGTATAGATCTATTTCAAGCTATTTAGCTCTCATCAGCTAGCCATACCCTTACTTGGATTCGAACTTGAGCTGCCTGCATGTTAGGCAGTTGTATTAACCTCTGAGCCACAAGTTCTCCTCCCTTTATTTATTTTATTTATTTATTTGATCAAATTTGTATACCGCCCTACTCCCGAAGGACTCAGGGCGGTGAACAGGCACAAAATAAAACACATAGATACAAAAGTTAAGAGCAGAATTAAAACCAAATTAAATATTTGAGCCCAAGACAATTTAAAACATCCCAAAAATTTAGAACAAATTTAAAATTTCAATTTAAATTTAAAAATTAAAAATTAAAAAGGGGGGAAAGGTCAGGCCAGGCCTGCTTGCTGAAATAGAAAGGTCTTTAGAGCGCGGCGGAAAGTGCACAGGTCCGGAATCCTACGTATCTCCGGGGGGGAGCTCATTCCAGATAGTAGGTGCCCCCACAGAGAAGGCCCTCCCCCTGGGGGCCGCCAGTCGACACTGTTTGGCCGACGGCACCTGGAGGAGCCCCTCTCTATGAGAGCATACCGGCCGGTGGGAGGTTGTTTGTGGTAGTAGGCGGTCCCGTAAATAGCCAGGTCCTAAGCCATGGAGCGCTCTAAAGGTGGTAACCAGAACCTTGAAGCGCACCCGGAAGACCACCGGGAGCCAGTGCAGCTCGCGCAGGAGAGGTGTTACGTGAGAACCACCCGCGCGGCCGCACTCTGCACCGGTTGAAGCCTCCGGGTGCTCCTCAAGGGGAGCCCCATGTAGAGAGCGTTGCAATAGTCCA